GGGGGGGGGGGGGGGGGGATTAGACAATGAAATGACTACTTGTATTTCTTTTTTTAAAGGTTGCATTTTAATGTATTCAAGAATTTCTTGGCATTTTGTTATAACTTCACTAGTTTTCTATAGTAGGGTATGTACTTTTTGATGCTTTCTGCATTCTGCTGTATTTGTTGACAATCAAGTAAGGAAGCATAGGATTTAAGTTAATTAAAATAGTTTTTCAGTCACATCTGAAAATATTGTTACATTTAGATAATACAGTGCACAAGTAATTTGCATTTTTCAAGATATTTTGTTAGGAAAAAAAAACAGTTTGATTAACAAAATACAACTTTGACAATATGCTTGAAGTTTATAGTAGCACATTATGTTGCTTGTATATTTTCGGATGTATTCTAATGAAATGAAATATTGTATTTTTCTGCACATTGATCTATCTTGAGATCCTGGTTTAAATTGTGCAAGGGAAATTTTCCATCTTTTTCCAAATATTTGAAAAAAACGAACATGATTTAGTTTTATGAGCAAAAACAACGGTACGTTTGTTTAAATGATCAATTAGAAATATTAAAACAAAACCTAAAAAAAAAAAAAACATACTGTCAATTATATTATATTTATATAGTTTTGATTGATCTAGATAATTTCACAATACTTTTCTGGTTTTTAACGCGTGCATCATGATATAGAAAGTACTAATAAATTAATTTATTTACGAGCGACTTGGAAGGAAGCGATTACTATTGTGATTTATTGTTGACTAAACGTATGTAGCCTCATCTGTCATTTTTCATGACAAAAACGATATATTGACGTCATCTTATGATGCTGGTGTAAACCTTTTCTCATTGGCTTAAACAAGGGGGCGGGGTAAATCTGTGTATATATTTCAAAAAATCTGAAATGTCCCTCATCAAAATACTGAAATCCTCACAGAACGAAACTACAAACTAGCAAATAACAATAAATATGGTGAGTAAATTTTGTCTTAATCAAAAATTAAATATCAATTTACCTGAAACATTATATTTATTTACACTAGAAACGTTATATCTATTTACCTGAAACGTTATATTATCTATTTACCTGAAACATTATATTTATTTACACTAGAAACGTTATATCTATTTACCTGAAACGTTATATTATCTATTTACCTTAAAAGTTATATCTATTTACTTGAAACATTATATTTATTTACACTAGAAACGTTATATCTATTTACCTGAAACGTTATATTATCTATTTACCTGAAACGTTATATTATCTATTTACTTGAAACGTTATATCTCTTTACCTGAAACGTTATATCTATTTACCTGAAACGTTATATTATCTATTTACCTTAAAAGTTATATCTATTTACCTGAAACGTTATATTTATTTACTTAAAACGTTATAATATCTATTTACTTGAAACGTTATATCTATTTACCTGAAACGTTATATTATCTATTTACTTGAAACGTTATAATATCTATTTACTTGAAACGTTATATCTATTTACCTGAAACGTTATATTATCTATTTACTTGAAACGTTTACTATTTACTTGAAACGTTATGGTAATCATCATGTATACGTATAGAGCTTATAAAAAGAGAATTGCCGTTACATTTTACTTAGCTATCTGTTTCCATCTTTCCAACCGAATACAAATTATGAAAATGTTTAACACTTTGGAATTACTAATACATAATCAACCTATATGAAGCAAAGTTATATGTTCAGCTAGATTGGATGAAGAGCAAGCGATGTACTATTTTTCCTGTGCTGAAAACTAGTTTCCAGCCGCTGATCTCTAACTAAATAGCCCAAGGGTAGAAAGGAAATTGCTGAAACTAATTAGGTGTTCCAAAACAATTTGGCTATGGCTATCCTTACTTATATCATTTTGTTTTCAGATTTCAGGATGTCTGTTAGTGTTACTGCTTTGTCAGACAGTTACTGCTTTCTTTGGAAGCGGGGCTTTTGATATGTTCCAGTTGATGTCTGGACCTGTTCAGAAACCTGCATGCATTTGGGATATGGATCACCGAGTACCAGAAGCCACTCCTCTCGGGAAAGAAGGTATCTGTTTGGATAACTTACCAACATATGACCAGTAAGTGTTTCTTTTACTTCATGGTGTTTCGGCTATAGTACCAGACCTTTAGAAAAAGAAGTGAATGAAATTGTGTTGTCCAAGCGTCTAGCAGTCACTATATCGGCTGTCAATGGTCAGAACATATTCTCTGAAACTTTGTGACAGCCAATTCTCAAACCGCGTTGTTCTAAGCAAGACAGATGTCGATATTATTCTGTCTTTTAGAATTGTTTTTATTGCCCCTTTAACATAAAAAAACAGGATAACAAAATAATTAATATATTTTTCAGAATCCGAATAGACATAGCTTTAGAGAGAGATTCTTTTGCTAGAAGTTTTTTAAGAACAGTGAAACGATTATATCAACCCATGAATCAAACTTATTTCAGGTAAGACTATTATTTTCGTATTATTCGTATACCTGATTTTGTTTATATCGTATAAAACAGGGTTTTTGTGAATATTTGGACAATTATAATTCAATTTGGGGGGGGGGGGGGGGGATTATCAGATTATTTTCTCTGGCATGAAAATATAGCAGAAAAAAAATCACTAAAAGGTTTTAGAGGGAGGGGGTAATGCAATGTTCATAATCGAAAGAAAAAAGGTTGAAAACGCTTGGTATGGAAGCTAATTTTGTTGTGGGGTAACCAGGTGTACAACTATGTTCCTATATGTTTGATAATATTGTATAAACGTAGAAGCAAATTTATGTCCGGGCGTATATCACCGGAATGTTTAGTTGTTATTTGGATCATAAATGTTTATAAGATACTTCTTTCTATTCTAGCCAGGTGACTTATGGAGGTCAAACGTTTGACTACGAAGATATGTGCCCAGTTAACCCCAGTCTGGTTCACCGTGTTAATGTACCAGATCCCAGGACCGGAGCTATTGACATTTGTAATGTTGTCAACCCCTATGAACAAAATATTTACAGAGCAGAATGCGGGTACGTGGAATTTTTAATTTGTTTGTATAATAAGTAGAAGATTAATATTTAATTAGTGTAAAAGAGTAGAATCAGATAGGAAAATACGTCGCTTCAAGTTCAAATGCATGCTTTATTCAGTTACAACGTTGTCACAGAAGAAAGGGATACACTTCTCATTCTATAGCAATATTGATTCTTCTAAAGCAGAATTTGTTACTCAGAGAAACCTTCTAGATATAATAATGGACCAATGCAAGGCGTTCAGCATTTTTAGCGTCTAGATAACCCTGACTACATTGAAGCAATATGCACACTGTCGTATTGTTTATATATAAAATGTAATGGTATAAATGCACTGCAAATTATAACCAGTCTGATGTGGTCAAATATTGATATCCATGCTTATTTTGTACCTTTATCGTTTCAGAATGAACTGTCAAATGAATGGACAATCAGCTGTAAACCATTTCTGTGTTCCTGATGGTTATATTGAAAGATATGCGCTGGTTTTCTGTCCCTCTTCCATGGTTCAATGCAGACCCGCTAGAATAAAGATTCCAGTTGGTTGTAGCTGTAAAAAATACACTTGTCTGAAATATCTCAAATAAGTTCAATTTTCTGCTGATTCTCTCCATTAAAGACACCAAACAGCAAATTCAAATATATTCCCTTTAAAACCACAGAAAACAGCCAATTTGGATAATACAAAATACACTGAATTTTTGTTAACCCCAATTCAATTTTGATATTTCCATTAATACTTCGACACAGAATAAGTACCTTAAATTGAAGTAGAGAAACACTATATAACTATATGTATACCATCAAACCTATTTTGATTTCTAAATATGTTGTATAACATAATGTAAATTGTAATTAATGACGTCATTATGTAAATATGTATATAATATTGCCTGCATCTGTCATCACTGTAAATAATGATGTAAATAATGAAAATAAAACGTAAATAAACAATAATATATGTTATTTTAAGTGCAATATTTGTGTTTGTGTGATTTGAATGATAAATATGTTGATTCGGATTTTTTAATGTGAGTTAATTTTATTAAATAAAGAAATTAATTTCGATATCTTTTAAAATTCTTTAGAAATTGCTACTTGCACATTGCAATGACATGAGTTTTTAGTCGACCTTAAGAGCAGACAGTCTTCTATATCAGGATGGCGCAAAATGTCGTACAACCCCTATAAGCCAAAAGAAATGAAGTTTTACCACCTTCCTGTAATCACCAGAAGAAGGACAAAATCATAGAGTCTACAGTAGAGCACATATCCCGTAGAATAACTGCTGCATATTTATCACTGACAAGGCCAAACTTGGTTAAAAATCCAACATTTCATCAAACTCTGGACCTTCATGATTGTGATTATGACCATTTTTAGAGGGAAATGGGAACCATATTGATAAGCATAGTGTATGTGCATGATGTCAGTTGACTGAAATGTGGTATGTCTTGTCCAACTTACAAAGGAATGTCTCTGTTGTCAGATTGTGTCAAATAGTTTTTAAATATTAAGTTATAAAATGACTTTTCTGACCACAAAAAATTGCGGTGTATTTCTAACGAAATTATATAGTCTGATACAGCTTAGAAGCAAAATTAACTTTTGGTATTATGTATACAGAACGAACCACAGTATTTGGCAGCCAGAATTTTGAGTGAGTGCTTCCAGTTCTATATTCAGTTACCAATAGAAACTTATATTTTTTTCTGCACTTTATTGATAATTTTCTTCAAAAGATAGCAACCGTTTCCCAAAATTATCGTGAACAACGTTTACGGTTGATGTTAAATCATCATCCAATAACCATACAGTGATAATATTCTGAATTTAGTTTAATTTCGATTAATTAAGGTGACAAAAGATTCTTCATACCCTTGCAGAGAAGAAGGGAATATTTGGAGATGTTCGTTAGAACCTTGTGGTACGCTGAGGTTACCTTTACTACGATCGAAGATAGTTAGCTTTGTCAGTCAGAGAGAGTCAGTTGTTCTTGTCTGTTTGATACCACCAGTAGACCCCAGTGTTTGACTGTTTGACAAGTGGTTGTTCGGACTTCACTTACGAAGGATTACTAGCGTAATAAAGCAAAACTTGATGTAATTATGTCAAACTGATAACTTTTTACTAACATTTTTCAAGGACAAACCGGACGTAAAGTTTTCCAATTTGTCAAAATTTCTTTTCTAAGCATAAATATTGCTGTTAACATTTTAGGTATAAATCATATGATGGCAATAGATCAAGGCTAGGTGTGACATTTTATTACCAAATGTCTCTCATTTGTATTTTCTGTGGATTATTTTTATTCTGTTTTGATCGTTTAATGCTGACAAATTAAACCATTATTCACTCAAATAGTATTCTTTTTAATGATGTTAATGCGATTACTCCTGGTTTACATAATATTTTTTCTGATGATTTCGAACCTAATATTGTTTACAAAATACAATACACCGGTTGTTTATTTTAATGATTCTCATTATTAAAGGAGTAGTATGCAAAATTTACATTAAAAAACTCTGTAATGCATGAAAGGATTTTAAAAAAAAACATATGCTATTTAGTTCTGTATATCTACTTAAGGGACAGGTGCGCCATTCTTCTTTTTGGAACAATCATACTTTAATCTCAGAAACGAGAAGTATTTTCGCTAAGCCAATTAGTAATAGTAATAGTGTACTAATAGTGTTCATAGCTCACCGTCGAAATTTGAGCCTTCTATGACTCGTCATTTTAAGATACTGTGTGATATATCGAAAAGACATACATAGAAATAGTGAGTAAAATTCCTAGTCTGAAGTATTTTTAAAGGAATTATACATTTCTAGTAGAAGAAGACTATTTACATATATACAAGACGTAAATCAATCCCTCAAAATGTCGCACTGTCCCTTTAATATACCTGAATTTTTTGTAATAAAAAAGGGGGTGATTAAAAACTTATTGTTAAACAAACAGTTAAAACGAGTTTTGGAGTTTGGACTGCAAGCGTGGATGTTCCATTTCATGTTAGTTCTTTTGGTGACTCATCTTACCATCTACGATCCGACCACATTCCGACAGAATTTCATTGGTTAAATATTAAAGGGCCCAGAACATGAATCATTTCGTCCGATCACGGAGGGCAAGTTAATAGCTGCATTTCCCCCCTTTCCCCTTTTCAAGGAAGTACATTCCAATATTCGTCCAATGCAATTATTTTGGCCTTTAAAAGAGATTAAGTTCTAGTATGGAATTGTATCTATAACATTATTGAATTAGACATTTCTATTTAGCATCGACTTTTGGCACTGATGCCCTTCCATACTCTTGTTTTTGTCGTTGGGACATTTATAGCTTCTCTTGGAATTTCAGATTTCTTATCCAGACATTAGCGATATGGTGTATGGAAGCGATAAAAGACTGGAAAATTTAGTTTGAATCACTTTGAAGCTAAATATTAGATAAAAAGTTCTGTCGTTGCCATTTCCGACAACACAACATTGTGATCACAGTCTCCTAACAATCACCATCATCACCTTCACATTTCCTTCATGGACATTTCACTTCTGTTTGCATAGTTATTCAATATTCCAGTCACAAGAATGATATCCTTGCTTTAAAACAAAAGAATACGTCATCATGAAAAGATGGTTACAGATTCTCAAAAAATCTCAAAACATTTTTTCAACTCTGGTATTCACATTATCGTATTTGAGCCTATAATATTATAGATTTTTGAAGAGCGAGCAAGAAAGTTCATATTGTTGTAGATAAAAAAAAAGACACACATATTGGGATAATCTTGTAATTTGTAACAACATCATTATATAAATATTATTTACATTATTGCACATTTACATCTGTCATTTACTGATAATAATGATATTTACAATGAAAATAAAACAAAATTTACAATTTATACATTAACGAGGTTTTTTACAAAATAATTTTGTCTTCCCTCTTCACAAATTATCACAAAGTTCCAAAATGATTAATATAGAATTCAAATTTTTAAGATTTCAATTTGTTTAGTCTTAAATGGAATCAAATTGGGTTTGGGTTTAAAATGGTGTTCTGCAGTTAAAGTAATTACGACAACCGCAATAAGTTGGCATTTCTTTGGTCATGTAGTAGAAACCTCCAAGTGGTACATTGTTGAAATTTAAATTGTGGTTGTATGTAGTAAAAGCATCAGCGTTGTTTTCACAATAGACTAAGAAGGTTCTCTTCACCCAGCCTCGGTTGATACAATGGTAACCAAGGATAGAATCGTAGGAAAGAGCGCATGGACCCCTGAAATGATAAATACAGAAATATAGGTTGTTGAAAATTGGATTTCGTCTTAAATTTCCATGAATAAAATAAGGTATTGTCTATCTGCACGCACTATGGGAAGTATGAAAAAAAATTGTAAGGGCAAGAGGCAAGCTCACATGATGTTAAGTTGACCGTGAATTGCCTTGTGTTTAAAGCCTTTCCCCCTCATATGCCGTGGTCAGTACTAACGAGATGATTAATGTAAGTTTTACTTACCCACAAGTTGCATGATAAATGCCCTGTCGTTGATTGTCTACGATATGACAACGTTGATTTTGGTAATATACAGAAGAGATTAATCTTCGGGGACTTTTACAAACACAATCGTAACTGTATTCATCTACAATCCTCCTGTACACAAATAGAAAAGACAATGTTCAATGTCGCTCGATTGAAACTTTTCAAATTTTGATGCTCCTTGAGATTTTTTATTTTATTTGAAGTTCTTTTCTTAATTTGTTTCTGTTTTGGCCATCATGGTGGACCTATGTACTAGCCGTTTCCATGCAAAACGTTTAAAGCCGCGCAATACCATTAGTATTTTACTTATATTAACATCGGGGCTTCAGATTATCAATTATTCTGGAAAGAAGCAAATCCAATACTGCTTTTCATATCAGCAATATAATTTATTATTCCTAACAAAGTAGACAAACTTACTTATGATCTGAGAAATAATCCTGTTCCTTCACACAGATACTAGCTAGTTTCAAGTATTCAGCATATTCTTTGTTCTGAGGAAATCTAATATGGTCCAAAAAGTAGGAAATCTCGGCACTGAAATGAAATGATAAAAAATATAAAACGTGCATCTAAAATCCTATTTATTGTAAGTTCGTTTGGTCTTTATCATAATACAGAACTTTCAAAATATCGTAATAAGCTATGATAATACTATAGAGGGGTGCTGAGCTGACCAGTCGCACACTCGTCACAGTAAATAAATTAACTCTTTTGAGAACTAATAGTGTTATTCAATGTTTAAGTCATCTCCATTGCTCACACTTCTCGTGGGAATTAATGTCGCGGATGTGGGTACTAATTATTGATACTTACGCTGGATAGGTCATGTTATCATAGCAAATAAAACTGTCATCGAAGAACTGATCTTTCACCAATTGCTCGTCATAGCATTGAGGATCTCGTTTGAAGTTACGATTAGTTCTACCAAAGTCTCCCCGTGATGGTATAGCACCATATATACCACAGAAAACACTAACAAACACACAAATAGTAATAGAATTCTGAAAAACAAATAATATATCTGTGATTAGATCTGAACTAACTAATGTACAAAAACGTTTATAGATTCTAATTTGATTAAGAATAATTATGCAATTAAGATACGTTAAAGAATAAATCTAAGTCTATGAAGGCTTAAAAAAACAGAATTAATAACCATTGTACTTACCATGTTGAAATATAGGTAGTTAAGTTCTTATTAAATTCTGTTGAAGGAATGATTTGATTTTGGGTTTCTGTTCTTTTATAACACCTGGCTGCTGTCACTCTTCATCAAAGAAAGGCAAACGATGACGTCAGAAAGGACAAGGGGCGGGGTTTCCAGATCTACTACTTTCGATCACCATCTGACAGTTCCTTTTACGTCATTGCGAACAATAAATGATTAATTTTAGTTATTATTTTTATGTTGATGTCAGTAACAAATTACATTAGTTTAGTACACTTGTCAAATTTTTAGACAATTTTTATTAAGTTTTAAACTAATTTTTTTTTTTTTGGATCAAGAAGGTTATTCAGCACATTGAAGTTTTTTCGTGAAATTGCAAATATTTTTAATTGGTCTTGAAGAGTCATATCATGCTCAAAATTTTCCCCAAAAGTTTTGATCTCAAAGTTATTGATAATTTGACGATTGCCCTTCGAAATCAGTATTATTATATTGTGCAATATTTAGTTTGTGCCGATGTGTTTGTTCTGGCAATAACATCAATAAAGAAACAAGATACAAGCTAAAACCTGTATTATCGGTTGCCTTATTTGGCCAAATCATGTTTCTACGAGAAGTGCAAGACATTAAACCATTTGGCCCAAAATATGTGTCACATCAATTGTATGTGTTCCCTTCAAGAGAGCTATAGCGCTTCCTCATTTGGGATCTCAACCCCGACAGTTGTTGCCCATTGAGTTGGTTGGTTGGTAAATGACAAGTTAACGTTCGCTTCCAGCGGATGCTGATATCGCAAACTGGGTAGTTGTTGGTAGTCGTAGTATAGTTGGTAGTTGGATTGGTTCAAATTGGATGATTCTGAATGACGAGGCGGTGACAACTCGGCCCTGAGTGGTGTGGCGTGAGTTACTCAGTCTTCTTCGTTCTTAACTCGTTCTGATCATGATAATTCTTGATGATTGGTGGTCGAATGGTAGTCGTTGATTTGGTTTGGTTTGGGTAGATTATCTGATACTGTTGGAAATCTCCATTGAGTCACTCTTCCCCTATTTTTACCCCCAATACTAGAAGGACGCCGCTGGTATACTGCTAAAACTTCAATTATTGATAAAATGCGACACCGTAATTATATTTCTATTAAAGACAGATCAGACACTATATTGTCATCAAACCTGAAAGCAACTAATCATCAATTGAATAAAAGTACTTTTTGAGTAAACGTTCTATATTCAAAAGATGAAAATCAAAGCAAATGTTCATCATCAAACCTTCTATCTAATGTCGTCTATGGTGTTCAGAGATCACATTTGATGTTTTCCAAGTTAGCTAAGCCAAGTGCATATTAGCATGATATAAGCATTTCAATCAAAATTGTAGTCTCCGTTACTAAAAATCTTTGATTTTGTTCCCTTACTTTCGTTAGAGACATGGAAAGGGTGTACTTGACTTGGGTATGGTTTAGTTCGTCATATCACCCCGAAATAAAAAGCATCTCGCATAGCAGAGTAACAACTTTCTGTCTATGTCACAGATAAATCGCTGGTGCTTCTAGCAGTGCTAGTATCCTCTGTAGAAAATGCAACATGAAATACTACTTAATAAATGAAAATATCTATGAGAGAAATTTTTCTAGGTTAACATGGAAATATGTTGTTTTTGTGTTTTTTTCAGTTTTGTAAATACATGGCTAAGACGATAATGGCAAACTATAAATAATGACCAAATTATTATATAATTCTACAAGATCTAATAGAGCTTTATTAAATCTTAGAACTATCTACTGACAGTACTGTATACAGTTCTATTTTAAAATATAAGACTTCTTGGCATAAGGGGGACAACTCTATTATACATCTGAAAAATATGTTATGCGCCAGACTACTGTTAATTTTGATCAATGAGAGATGGATTTACGTCGTGGAGATCGTTGGTCAATTTCTAAGATCTAGAATTATCACACAGGCTGAATAATTTTTGAAAAACAAATCTCACAGAATTTTAGCAAAGGAGATATAGACGTGGGAAATAATTATTGTTGGTCACAAAACGTTCGCAGGTGCTTGTGACATCACTATGCATTTTGTTTACAGGTTGCTAAGTCTTTGCGCATGACAACAGGAAACAATATGGACGGCTTTTGTTGATTTGTTTAGACGTGCACTTCAAATTTGTTATAAATTGTTGTTTTATTAAGATTTAGTCCAGATTCTGTAATCGAAAACATAGTGAAGAACTAGTATATAAGGAAAAAAGTAAGTTTGACCAGTTGTATTAAAAAGAGATATCAATTAATATCGAAATTTACGATAGATTCAGCTGAGAGACAGTGTGACTGTGAGTGTGTGATTGTAGTGATCGACAAATACAAATACTGAAATAGACTCAGGTGGTAGAGAGGATCAGGAGAAAGATATTGACTGAATAGTTTCTTAGTCTTAGGTTATCAGCGTATAGAATTTTTTTCGATTTTGTACAATCATCTGCCAATGTGAATAAGAGTTGCTTGTGTCTAGGCTAACAAATAGACAAAAAGTTAGCGTAGCATTCGTCTATGATTTTGAGTAGCTTGTACCCGACTTCAGGTAAAAGCAAAGTCAAATAGGTCCTACTGCCATGGAACATAGCCATAGGGCCATCAATGTTATAAAAAAACAGTTGCCTATTTACATGTTACAGTAACTTGACATTGGTGAATTAAAATTTAAATCTCATTTAGCATCAGCTTTAGCATATGAAAGCTACTTCAATCATTTTCTTTTTGTCTTCGACTATAGAACGATTAGAAGTATCAAGATGGTTAAAATACACATAAAGAAAGGTGATGAGAGTCAGTTTTTATATGAAATACCAGTAGATACACCTATAGATGATATACTAAAAAACATAACTTGTATTTATAACGGTAGATTAAAAATACAAAGACTGTGTGCAGGTAAGCCTTATTTTATTAGCAAAGTATTTTCAACAATATTTCTCTATGTTCTTTCATATCAATACTATTGTCCGAGCATAGTGACGAGTTTGTGTAAATTTTTTCCATTATTTTTATCAGAATAGGAATATCAGCCTCAAAATAGTATTGTTAGTCTTAGAATGTCTTTGCATTGATAAAAATATATTTTTTTGTGAATTTACATGAGATTTCAACCAAAAAAGTCCCCAATTTTGGCTGAAATTTGTCCTCTGTGAAAACAAATGTTTATATTTTTATCAACCCAGAGACATTCTAAGAATAACCGTACTATTTTGATTCTCATAAAAATAATGGAAAAAATTCAAAAGGTTTTTTGCTTTGCTCACACATTAAATATTTCAAAATTGTAAATTGGTGATGACATTGACTCTGTAAGCTCAGAAATCCTATGCTAAGCTAGTAGGAAGACTTTACTGTATAAGCTAATATTTAACATCAACTATTTTTGTTATTAAAGATGTTGAAGATTTAGCTCAACATGGTATAACTCTACCACCTAACATGCAAGGCTTAACAGAAGAACAAATATTTGAATTAAAATTGAAGGATGAATGGGAAGATAAATGTACACCAAGTGGTGGTTATGAGGAAACTAAAGATAAATATGGTAGACGTAATGGAAAAGGTAAAATTTGTAAATTATTCACATATTCCTTTGAAATTGTTCCTGAACAATAAGAAACCTTCATTAAAAATGCTGAAGTAATCCTGAACAATTACAAGATTGGTCCCAAAAAATCTTATGCCATTACCTAAGGTTTTTGTAAATTTGTATTGTTGTCAGCCCTCACTGTGTTTTAATGTTTATAGCTCTCTAGAAATATGTTTTTTTCATTATTTTTATTATTATGATGTAACTTCAATAAGTGTTCTTTTTTTATTTTCAGCACCAAATAAGAAAATGCAAGAAGTTTTGAATAAAACCTGTAAGGAAGCTAAAGATATGATCTCTAAGGTAAGTTAATAGTTAGTTTTGATATTTAGATTTAATATTAAAGTTTCAAGTAATATCTACTGTTTGTAATATATATAGAAATAGACATAGGTAAACAGGCACAAGGTGTATGGATATATACCATTTCAGACATTTATTAACTCAATGTTTCACATGCTCATACAGGCAGCGTTATCAGAAATATCTTGTGCTTCTATAATAAGTATTATCCTCTGATATTTCTTGATATTTGTTTACACATACCTATGGTAGACATTTCATGCATCAAAATGACATGTTCAGAGCAAGTTAGCTTCATTAATACTGAATGTTATCACTAAGGACCAATGCTGAATGTAAACTAAAGTTGTTTTCTAACTTGTTTATGTTGTAATGTTGAGGTTTTGCTTTCAGAAAAAGGTAGAAATAAATGAGTATGTAACACAAGCTACTATAACAGAAGCTATTAGTATATTAAAGGGAGCTGTAACTATTGTTTATCCAATGGGTTTACCACCCCATGATACAGTTAAACATGAATTAGAAAATACTGAAGATTTATCAGGCACTCAGGTAAAATATTCAAATTTTCTGCATCGCTTGTGTGAAGTATTTGTAGTCTGTAGCTTATTCAGCGGTCTGTTTATTGTAGTTATCCCCCATTAATTTTCAAACAGTATAGCTTGCATTTCTTTTTCATTTTGCTCAAATAAAATGCTATGTAAAAGGACAATTTCTAAGTAGAAATTTGTTCAATATTTGAAATTTGATGTTACTTGTGCTTGATCCTCTGCTGTATATTGAAGAATACGATTGTAATATTTGTAGGCATCTCAAGAAGTGATAGAGGAACCCAATGCATCATTATGGTGGGCCGGTAAAGAAATGTTACGAGGTAAAAAACTCTCAGATTTTGTTGGTAAAAACGACAAAACAAAAATAGTTGCTAAACTTCAAAAGGTAAGTGTATTATATTGAGAAGATTAAGATTTGTGTTTTAAGATTGAGATAAGTTCAATGATAGTTTTTCTGTGTTGTTCAGATAAACACAGTGTTTGAGAAAAGTTTTAAGTACATGTTTGTGAAATAACAGTAACAGCATAGGTTTTTTCTCTAGTTAAGAGTATACTGTGCCTATAACTCAATCAAAATAAAAGATGTGTCATTACACTTCTATTTCATTTATATGAATTTGCACAGTTAATACATGTATTGCATTCAAGGTTTTCTATGTTTGTCATGCAAATTCTTCGCTGTGTTTGAGATATCTGAAAGTAATGTCTAAATATTTATATAATAAAATATATTGTTATTATTGTATTATAGAAAGGACAAGGTGCCCCCAGTAGAGAACCTGTAGTCAGTGAAGAAGAACAGAAGAAAATGATGGCGTACTATTACAAAAAACAAGAGACATTTAAGGTAAACTTTGTCCCCATGTGAAAGTGTCTGATTGTTGAAGCTGGAAACTATATGGCTCTGTAAACATTTCCCCCTTTCTAAAAGAACTATTTGTTTTATATATTCAATATATAATCAATACGATTACTTTTTTTATATTTTCAGAAATTGGAAAATGATAATGAAGATGCGTATATGGATGCACCATGGGCTGACAGCAATCAATTAAAACGACAGTTTCATGGTATAAGAGATGTCAAATTCTGATCTGAGTTCCACTGCATCAACATTTAATGCAATAATTTTATCTGTTCATTATATCACAAAGCATTTTCTACATTATTCACCTCATAATTCATCTTGGATCATTGATGCATGTATGTATAGATAGATAACAGATAATGTGTTACAACTAATGCGATACATATTTTATGTTACTCATAAAATCTTAGTTCAACTTAACAAAAAAAATCCTGACAGCATTAACCATTATTGATAAGATTTTGAATTTACATTATTGATATGTATTCAGAAATGTAGAAATATTATTGTGAAGCCTGAAGATTGTAAAAACATTCTAACTATTGATAGATCTTCACAATTGTATAAGCATTATTGACAGTCTTCAGAATCATACAATTAATATGAATTTTATAACATTTGCTGTTTATATACCTTGTTATATTTATTAAAAAATAGGATAATTACTGAAGTAGTTTACATCTGATATGTATAGAGATATACTTGCAGTCATCTGATGTGTAATAAGGCTGGGCTGACCAGAAGCTAGCTGTTCTAATAAATGAAATTCATTAGAATATAATATCAGTAGTTCTTAAGTCTGCAGGCTAATGCCAAAATATTCTCAGAATGACAAACTAATCTCAGGGAAATACTGTATTTGGATGAGAAATTTGTAGATATTCCAAGATTACCTTCTTTTGCTTGGTGACAAACAATCTCAATTCATCACATTTCTGACAAACCTTCAACAAAAATCACAAGACAACTTAGTCGTTGATATACATTTATTAAATTATATATACAAAAATATACAAATAAACTTGATCGATTACAATAGATTATAAAATATGGATTTAAGAAGATAATCCACACTAAAAATTACTCTATTTGCAAATTTCTAATTGAGCAAAATTTATCATTGAGTTGTTTTTGAAAAATGATGCTCAAATAAAGGTTTGATTAGTCTTATTATTGATACACTATCTAAATTATCAGCATCCTATTAATTAAGTGCTTCATACAGGCCAGTTTTTAAAAATTGATTCTTCTTACAATACAAAATTTATAACTAACTTTCAAATATCTTGAAATTTTACTGGAAATCCTTTTAGAGAAAAATCATTTTTCCAGATATAGTTAACTAGGGAGTTCGCAACGATTAACTTATTAAATAACATATTTGTATAATGGTTATAATTAAGAAATGGAAATACAGCTTTTAAAGACTGTCTTTGAAATTCATAACCAAAAAATTCATAAAACAATGATTTCGCCCTCTTTTGACATTACTTTAAAAACCAAAATTAACTTAATGTACTAAATAAAATACTGGGCCATTGGGAGACAGGGTTAAGTCATAATTCCTGTTTTATTAAGTTAGCACACACTCCCCCTTAAAGAAACTTTGGCAGTTTAAAAATGTAAATATAAATATTATAAATATATACAATTATTTACAAAATCACAAAATATAACAAAGATATAACAAATATATGGATATTTACAATTACAAAGTTTGTAAAAAAAACGTAAAATGATTACAAATATTAAGAAACATTAACAAAAATGAAATGATTCTGTGAAAACGACACAAAACAATTTGTTTGAATTTATAAATTATTATGCTTAAAAGTATATAAAGGTACATGTATCATTAATATTATAACTGAAAGAAAGTCAGACATATTCAATGTCCATTTTACTACAGCATGAAGAAAACAAAATTTGCAAAAGTTTGAAAATTTGCTTCAATTTCATTCACTATGTCAAGCTATCTGGACACATTTTATATTTAGCCATGAATCAAGTCAACCATAGAAAGAATTGTTCAGTTTAGAAAATCTGACAAATATCAAGGGCAGGAAACATCAATGGCTATTCTCTGATTATTTCAGTGTAAACAAGTCTCTGAACTTATATTATAAAAGTAATATAGCTTTCTGGTTAAAAATACCAGATGCCATTTATACAGTCTGATTTACTTCATTAAATATATTGACAGATGTTGGTGCAATATTTATTGTTTTATAATACAAGATCTCATACTCCTCTGTATTGCCCTATTATTGCAAAATCAAACATACAAATCAGCATCAAACACCTATTGTTCACCTATCACAGAGTATAGTTGGTGCTAGTTACACTGGGCATACATGTACCAATTGATTACCTATTTAAGAGTTAAATATAATTGACTCACAACCTGTTGTTAACGGGTCTCTACTTTTATACAAAACATAACAAATACAATAAATAGAAATTATGTACATTATGTATGCTAATGTAAGTTGCTGCAGAACATTCCTGATTGCTAGACAGAGCACAGGAGATATCCAGAGTCTGGCGCACACTTGCAATTTTTCTGATGCTGATAATATTTTCATCCTAAATTACAGCTTGAGTATGGTGGTCAATGACAGCCATATTCAGGGACTTCTCTAGCTATTCAAAGGTGTCCTGTCGCCTTAATGCTGATTAAAATGTAGCATTCAAAAGACATTTCAGAATTATACCTATCTGCATTAAATACAAAATAAATTTGTATTTCCTCTATCAAGAACTTAATATCAATTTAAATAAAGGAAATGGAGCCCATTTTTTTCCAAATATTCCTGAGCTATCCATGTTCTTCATATTTACCTTCTGATGGCTGCAGATTTCTTTATAAACTCTTTTCTTTGGAACATGATTTTGTTGTTTGATGTAATTTTGAGTTAACTATACTCAGGTTGCTGCACACTTTGCCAATCAGTACTGTTCATGATGAAACACTATCTGCTAACTTACTGTAACTTAGTTTTAAAATGGCACTCAACAAACACAAGTTGAAGAACAAAACACAATAAATAACAGAATCCAAATAACAACACAGTCATAGTTCAGCCATAATAATTACTTAAACTTCTATTTCCAGGGTCATTATTACGTAAAGTTCCTCGCGGACTAAATCTCACAACCTCAATTCTATCTAAAGAGTCTGAACCATCTAACATGGGCGTCTCCATCGATGTATGATTATGGGAATTATAATTATGACTATGAGTAGGTTCGGTAACATCTAATTTAGCACGTATACTTCGTTTAAAGTCTGTACCGATTTTGATTAATAATGCTGTTAACATCAGTATGATTGCTAAACAAATAGCTATCACAAAATATAATATAACACGCTCTTCATTAGCTGAAATAGAAAATTAAATATAAAAGATAAATAGCTGATATAAACTTTTAGAGGCTGACCACTTTCTAATTTCTCAAAAACGTTAGCCATATAAAGATTTCCCATTTTGCAATTACTATCAAGGCCTTGTATAATTGAGGGTTGAATTTGGAATTTTTTCAATTATGTAGAATTTTCAAATTCTTGCTATTTTTTTGGTCTTTAGCCAAATCTTCCAAGCCATGTTTTTCAAGTTAAGCCGTGGACACACAACAGATCTTTAAGCCAAAAACTAACTTAACATACCTTTTAAGTAATGCCATGCATTGAACATTTCTCGCAGGAGTACAAACCAGGCATTTTGTTCCTTGGAACTACCAACGTCTATTTTAGCTGTGACGTTCATACAGATGACTGTTGAATCAGTTGTTTCTGATAAAACTTTCTTATCAATATTATCTTTGGTATAAGTTTTAGGTTCGTGTGGATCTTTCTCTATTATCTCTGGTCCAGCTGCATCTAAAAAAATAAACATCCCCGTTTAAGTTCAAAAACTTTTCCATCTACTCCATTTATTAGAATCTTTATTCCAACATCAAAAGTTTTCAGGTTTTCAGACCTTTGAATTTCGCTAACACTTTCAGAAGAAATTGTAAAAGTATTGGTCAGATTTAAGAAATATCTATCATTCAAGTATGAAGAAAATATATCCAACAGACCAAAACTTTCTTTTTCATTCTCTAAAAACTGAGCCTCTTAGAAAATCGAATAAACATATTAGTCCCTACCATTTTACCTTTAAAGTCATATCAGAGTTTCGAAATAACTTTAAGTAGCAATTGTTATACCAAGTAATATATGAACACTTTCTTGATTACATAAAGCTTTTGTCTACATGAAATCAGTCTTATTAGACAGCTAATCAATATCCCTTTCTTTCATTCTTAATGAATTCTTTTTAACTCAACCTCTATCAGAGAATTCTAGTTAATGTCTACTACTAACTTCTACATGAAATCAATCTTCAATTATGTCTTTTACTTTTTTTCAATTATTCAATGCAGATATTAAAATGTGCACTTAGGCCATACCAAAATAATTTTCTGTTCTTCGGGATTTGAAAAAAAAAAGGTACGAGCGAATGAAATTTTTTTTTTAATTTAAAAAAAAAATGTCTAAAAGTTAGTAATCATTGATTTGGTTGGTGCGATATAATATTTTTTAATTTTAAAAAAAAAAAATGTCCCTTCGTACCATTAAAATTTTCCAGCATGGATGATTTTGAATGTATTCAGTTAAAATAACAATTAATAGTATTTATTTATGGTGTAAAGGCTTCAAAACATTTTGGTATGGCACAACTAGCTGTTTTAAATTTGTCATGGTGCATATCGACATACCACAAAAAATTTGTAATCTTCCACAAAATTTCTTTTGCACAGATTAACTGGTCTTTTGACCAGCCATCATCAATTGTTTTGCACCAATCTAGCACATCACAAAATAGTTTTTGAGGTCCAGTTAAGGTTTTGTCAAAGACTGGTGGTGTAGGTTTTTCAGGAAACATTAATGTCTTTCTTGATGCCATCATAAAATTGAACACATTTTTATCACTTTTGGAAGTATTACAAACAGGTTCTTCAGACGAAGAATGAGAAGGCAAGTTAATTAAAAAGTCCACAAACTTGGATTTCAGTTCATCACACAGAGAAATTTTCAACAAAAGTGTAACTAAGACACCGCATGATTTTTCCATATTGTCCTTGATGTACACTTTTTCTGGGATCTGTGATATGCACGATTGAATTCCTGCAGATGCCAGATCATAAACATCTTTAAAATTGTTTTCAGGCTCAACATCAAACGCCATGTATGGCAAAATAAGTTTCTGGTGTGACCTAATTTTGATTACTAAAATCATTTTGGTAAAAAAGAAAAATACAAATATTAATTCTAGCACTGCATCGGCCATGCCTATTTCTGATAATTATCAACTTCCGGAATTTCGATGCGTTCGGTCGTCGAGAAAACATTCTTGCTTCAGCGAAGGGCCTAAACTACTGTACGAACTCACTCTTTCAACAGCTAGAACATGTTCTACTATAATTGTCGCAAGATGTCCACAAACTGACAAACGGAAATAGAGGGCGCAATTTGTTACTCCCGCTACCAAATTTTAGGCTTAGAGAAATAAAAATCAAACTAAAAATGAGAGCTAAACAATCATGTTATCTGATCAAATTAGAGGTATATAATTTTTTTTTTTAAATTAAAAATTCTTTTTTCAAAATTTTACATACGGGAGCTCTTTTAATACATACGGAATATTATTTTTTAATTTTAAAAATAAAATTTCGATTACGGAAAATCGGGTACGGAATTCCCGACGAACAGAATATTATTTTGGTATGGCCTTAAGGTTGTTCAAGATTATTAGATTTATGTGACAAGACTTTTAGCACTTAAACTACAGTAATGTTCAAGTTTTATTGAATGAAATTATCTTATCTAATTTACTTTTAAAAATGAAGATTCATTCTATTTCGCAAGATTGACAACTTGAATTTCAAAGGTCCTTCAACCTGCTCGTGCAATTGTATGGCCTTTCTCAAACTAACTGCTAAAACCCATTTACACAACTGGAATAATTTGCTGACGTAGACAAAGTCTTCAGACTCTCACTCACTGACTAGTAAATTCCATTGTGATTTTTCTTATATGTGCTTTCAGCTTTTAAATGTTGTTAAAATCATATCCCTGACTAAACTTTCAATTCACAACTACCATTTTCAATAATATCGCAAATGATGACATGATGACATCAAGCACTATGACAAACTAAGATACACATCTTCTCAAATGACTATATTTTATCCTACGATATAAAAATCACACCCAGTTAGTGTTGTCGAATTCAAGCTTTCTATTTTCACCTCCGTTTTAATGTGAGAATCAAAATATCATATTATTAAAAACATCATCACATATAGCTATATAGTCTGACTTGCCAAATTCACTTTATAAAATATAACTTAACCACTAATAACCAGCAACTTGCAAGATGATTTTAACCCAGAAGGAATGTTAATATTATTATGAGCAGGGTATGGTAATTCAAGCATGAGATGATTCTTGGAGCCAATATTGAGCTATACAACTAATATTATGATAGGAATATGATAAAATTGGTGATTTAAATTGAGGAGAACAAACATGCATGTGGTATATAAAGATATGAATTTTTATAACTATTTCAGAACACATCAATATGAACAAAATAAGAATTTGTGAACAGTTATTTAATGAAGATGACCCAAATCCATGATTTTAAAGTATTACATGATATCTAATATATAATACATACCTGGTTTTCAAATATTTTGACATTTTGTTTCAAACAAGAACCAATTCTTCTGACAAGACTCATCTTATATACGTTTCCACAAAAACTTGAAATATTTGAAAACCAATGATATAAACTAATAAATGAGTGATAACTAAAAAAGGATGGGGATTTAAATAACATGCTGTAGTAGATGTTATACCCACATGTAGTGTTACCTGCTGGTACTAGTTCAGGTTTACTAGTACTTGGTTTCTGGTAAATTGGTGGGGGCGTTATGGACGGTTTATTTATAGATTTAGTAGTTATACTATCAGCTGATACAGTTGATGTTATCAATTTCTCATCTTTTTTCTTTTTCCGTCGATTTCCTCTTCTCCGTAATTTCTTTAGAATATTTTTAGGAACTGAAATATAAAGATATTCGAGGCTAGGAATTTAAATGCAAGAAAACGGTCCTTTAAATCCTGTTTTTGCTCTCCAGAATGAATAGAAACTTTGTTGAGGAATCCAATATAGAAGCCAAATAGTCAGCAACTCAGCAAGCAAAGTTGACAAACACAGAGTAGAGTGGCATCAGGTAATACAAAAGGGGGAAGATCCTCAAAGTTGTTTTGTAATGCAGCTAAAATCAAAAAACATCAAGAACCTCAGAAGCTTAACAGCTACTGAATGGAAAATGACAACAGCAATATTAGTACTCACAATCCAGTTGAAATAAGAGTTTAAATTTTTCTACAGTAAACAAATCTATTCTAATAACAATTCCTAAACAATTGAGATTATATTTTACATTTGTTTATCTCTGCAAGTTCTAAAAGAAATCTTTAACAAGTAACCTTGTGTAACTGGAATAATTCCACTTTGATAATATAGTTTCCAGAAACTCCATTCTGTCATCACTTATACCTGTAATTCTAATACAACAGTTAACTTAATCTTGTTTCTGGCAATAGTTTTAAATCTATTCTAAAATAACTCAAGATATTTTCTTTAATGCTGAATAAAACCTTTATTTTAAATTAATTTTTGCAGCTAATCAAATAATTCAATTGATAAACTGATTTCTTCTATAAGAATAAGATAGTATCTAATGTCTACAAGTGAACATCAATTCAATGTGTCTTTCAACTTATACAAATAAGGTATTATAAAGAAGAATTCCTTTTGACCAAAACATTCACATTTTTCTGAATGAAAACTGAAAAAAAAAATTGATCTAAATACCTTCACTATTTTAAACCTAATTCAGAAAGAATTCCAAAACATATCAAGGCATTTGTGTAATTCTAAATTCTATACCATTCACAGTATAAGTGGGCCGTACCAGAGTGGATTAGTTTTGTCATTTAGTTAAATAATGACATTCTATGAATATTTTGGGTGTGAAATTTCACATGACTTCATGACTTGACATACTAACTAAATGAATTAATTATCATACTACTATTATAATATAGTTGAGTTAAGTACATTAAGCCAATGTAGGTTGTGTTAACTTTTGAATTTTCTAAAGAATAAGATGAGATTGGTAACACAATACGTATTGTGTACTTGCTTAGCATATTTAAATTCCAAATTCATCAACCTGATGACCTACATTAATGTAGGAAATGAACCTTAAACCATCCTCCACTTTAGAAAAAAGCCTTCAGACATCATTAATTTTACTTATCTATAGAAAACATTTTATTATTTTTATTCCTTAAGTTGAACTTTTATCTTCATTTCTATTTCTAAGCTTGAAAATCAATCAAGATTTGTCACATTTTTACGTCTTACAGCTTTAAATTGTCAACAATAATCTAACTTGTTTCCTAGTTTAAAGATTTAATATAGAGAAAACCTTTATACAGATTAAACTGTAAATCAATAGACTTTCAACCAATCAATCAAATCAGTAGAAATAGTAATGGAGATTTTTTTACCATTTGTTATAGTGATAGTACTAACCTACTGAATGCATGTCAACTAAACCTCATGGGACTAACATATGACGTTCTTGACTAAAGAGACTGTTTGATCCAGTATTTGAATTAAGCTAATGAGTTCTGCCATGAATGCCAATACAAAAACCATGATTTTCCTTCGCTTTTCTTCAATATCATCAACAGATAAGACTGATATTCTGATTATTCTGATTCACCTTAGAAATATTTCTATGTGACTTACTATGTATAACATTGGTCAGAAACACATTTCAGAGAAATACACTCAGAGCCATAGCATAAATATGACATGTGATATTTTGGCCTGGTGCCACACTAAGAGAGAGTTCGAGTCACAGTCAATTGACTACATACCTTAAACAACAACTGAGTGAACTGCACCTAAACACATGGAAATGATCATGCTTTTAAATTTATGATCGCTTCTCTCATCCATAGCTTAAACCAGGATTGTGATTTTTTTTCACAAGATAACAAATTCTCCCAAATAAATAATATGTATGTGAAGCATACTTGATCTATACATGTGACATTTCCTCACTTTAGGTAAGCCCAAGTTATATCTGTCTTAAAACTTCTTCATTGGACTTGGTATTGTTATATATTTTTGAAAACTCTATAAACAGCATGGGTTCTAATCTTGATCAGTATGTGAAAGTCTAGTTTCTAGTTGACTCGGTTGTAATTGGGTACGGATAATCCAGGAAGGATCAATGCCAAGATCAATGTCCAAGGACCAACTGGTAGAAAGAATCCTTGTGCATCTAAGTTGTTATCCTTGTAAAAAAGATAGCTTGCCAGGCAAGGTAATATACACCCACTGATAGCTTTGTTTGAAATTGAATATTTGTTAGAAAATAGCAAACATAGACACCAGGAAATATTCAACTTATACCCAAATCCATCACAAACTGTGCCATCACAAGTTAAAAATCAAACACATTTGTAAGAATAACGGCAATAACTTGTATTTTATATTTCAAAAGGTTTAGTTTTGATTGTGATCAATTTCATCAAGTTGTCAAATTTGTTTTAGACTTCTGCTTTGTAGAATAAAAATTTTCCGATTTCCATGATTTTTCTATAGGGTTTATCCTTGGGTGAATACGAACACTCATACCAAGTTTCGTCAAAATCTGTCAAGAATTGTGCCTTCTAGAGTGTTTACGAGCTAAAAAATGAACGGTTTGCAAGAACAAGGGCAATAATTCATACAAAATATTTTTCGATTTCGCTGATTTTCAATAGGGTTTATCCTTGGGTGATTACAAACACTCATACGAGGTTTCGTTAAAATCCATTACGTATTGTGCCCTGTAGAGTGATTACGAGCTAAAAATTGAACGTGTTTTCAAGAACAAGGGCAATAATTCATACTAAATATTTTTCGATTTCGCTGATTTTCAATAGGGTTTATCCTTGGGTGATTACGAACACTCATACCAAGTTTCGTTAAAATCCCTCAAGAATTATGCCTTCTAGAGTGTTTACGAGCTAAAAATTGAATGCGTTTTCAAGAACAAGGGCAATAATTCATACTTAATATTTTTCGATTTCGCTGATTTTCAATAGGGTCTATCCTTGGGTTATAACGAACACTCATACCAAGTTTCGTCAAAATCTGTCATGAATTGTGCCTTCTAGAGTGTTTACGAGCTAAAATTAACAAGGGCAATAATTCATGCTAAATATTTTTCGATTTCGCTGATTTTCAATAGGGTCTATCCTTGGGTGATTGCAAACACACATACTAAGTTTCGTTAAAATCCGTCAAGAATTGTGCCCTGTAGAGTGTTTACGAGCAATTGTGGACGGACGGACGGACGGACCGACGGACATGGGTGACGACAATATACACCCCCCATTTCATGAGGGCGTATAAAAATGTTGTTTCTTGTCGTTCTTTTAAAAAGTAATGGAATGAGAAAATGTCCTACTTTTTTGCTCCAAACTGAGCTAATGAAGATGGATGAAGAAGTGTAACTTACCACAGATATAGGTAATATTAAGATATTTATTGATTCCTGAGGGACAAGGATTACCAAAGATATATTCTTCAGCTTCTATATAGCACTGTTTTTTACCATGACATCTCTTAGTTACTTCTTCTACTACATTCTTAGCTTTACAATCTGAAATAGACAATAAACAATGTGAAAGAATCTTTTTCATAAACCAATTTGGCACTCTGTTTGTTATCAAACACTCACATAGTTGTGAATGACATTCAATTCCAAACTGATTGTTGCTACAAAATCACTACATAAGGCATGTAAATTCATCATTGTCATTCACAATTCTCCAAACCAAATTTTGCACACAAAAGTGCACAACATCATAAGAATCGTACAAATCAAATAACCATCAAGTAACTTGTCATTCCTTCCAAACCAAAACTTTCTAAATACCAAAGGTATAAATATCACATATAAATTTGGGAAATTCAAATATAGAATTTCAGAATTTAGATTAATAAAGTATGAGTCACCACATAACGTGTCAATCCATTCCAGCCAAACAGAACTTAATATCAAATATAACTTATAGAAATTCAAATATACAATTTCAGAATTAAGATTATATATTCATATCAAACTTTACCCACCAAAGTTTGTCACTAAACTAAATATCAAGGACATATATATCACATGTATTTTCACTATACTGAAATTTACAATTCAAATAATAACCTCTAAACAAATATTACTCCCTCTCTTACACCATGTGTTCAAGTGTACTGTATAAAACTTAATTAACATATTCCAACGCCAATTTCAACAAATATTTCAGCATTCAAACAACATGAGGGGATATACATCAAAATATCTTACACATTCCTATCATGTCTAAAATATAACTTGTGTCAATTTTGATCAATCATCAGTCTACCTGTAATTACTCTAGTAATATGATCTCTAATCATATCTATTATTGCCAAAACTTTACTGGAATATTTGAACAAAGTCATGTTTAAAAATTTTGCTTATTCCTTTCTTTTTAACTGTGCTCAATGTATGCTGCAAGCAATGAGCTTATTATTTTCAACTCTTCCTCAATTCGCAAGCACCCTTATAAGTTCTAATTCAGCTGAACTATCTGATAGTTGAGCGATGATCAAAGGGCAATCTTACTAACACTCAGGCCCGTAATCAGACTTGATTGTTCAGAGGAGCTAATAATATATATAAGAAGAAAAGGTGTATGTATTCAAGTGTTTCAACAAAATTGGTTAGTTGTTAGAATTTTCTCAGGGGGCAAAAAATCTAATATAGAAGTGTCCAGAAATAGATTCAATCTACCACTCACACATAAACCATGTAGAGCCCTTGACAGAACCCCTTCTAGGCAATACTCCTGATAGAAACAGAATTAATATTTTTAAGACATATAGAAGTAGTATGGTTACATTAAAACACTATATTGATATACTACTCCATATATCTTAATGTTTTAATGAAACTTAATTAAATTAAATTTCTAAAAGCTTGAAATTCAAGAGTTTAATATAGTTTCTGCAACCATGGTAAAGTTAATTGAATATCTAAGTCATATTCACTAACAACCAAACTATCTTAAATAACATTGTACCTCATAATATTACTCAATATCAACCTAGACTTCTACTCACAGCTAATCTATCTCAATTAAATAATGTGTTCACATGATTAATCATGAATGTGTCTGACTAGGTCCTAGTCAATTCTATTTCCTCTTGATGGATGTTTAAAACATCTTATTAATTCTTCACCTAATTAATTAGCTCTTAGTAAGATGTGTTTGATCAAAGTTAAACATGCTATAAAGTTAATGAGGCATAAAGTGTCTGTAATTTAATAATATTATATATCTCATAAATTGCCAATGATTCCCAGTTAATGCCAAAATCTATAATTCTATATAAAGAGAATGGTAGGCAGAAGGCAATCGTCTTTTTCAACAAGTCAGAACTATTACTTTTTTTTTAATGTGTTTCACTGTAGAAGATAAACCTTGATAAATATTCATGAAGTTATTTTCAAAAGGAGAAAATCAACATGCTTGTAGATAGCCATTTTACGTTTTGTTCTGTAAATTTGAGTGACAGAAACCCCTTTAAAAATCATTTTATTAGTCAAAATTTATCTATGTCCTGCAGTTGAGCAAATAGTTAATAACTTTCCTGTTGTTAGCTGCAACAAGCAGATCTTCCACAACACTGAATATAAATTTCAATGAAAGCACAACGTGATGATCCAATGGAACATGATTTTTTGTAAGGCTAAACACACCTTGTATTTTCCTGATCACTTTCCTTAACACCTTAAATCAGAACCCTCAAGTTCAAGGAGCACTAAATGTGAAACTTTCACCACAGATATTGGTTCAACACAACATCAAATACAAGTTTTACTTGTGATCTTCTGAACACTAGACATAAACAGAACATCAAATAATCACAAAATTCAACTTTCCTGTTATGCTTTTTTTTTTAACTGTAATTCTTTAAGACACTGCCAGAGATGAAAAAAAACAATGCGTTCTGTAATGATAGGTGTGTATACTGGTAGGTGATTTAAACAAACCTCAATATCAATTAGACATATGTTCTAGTAAGACTATCTACCAATATAGACAAGAATGTAGACTGTCTATTTCAGTTTCATATAATAAAACTAATCAAAGAGCAAATCTCACATTTTAGAGGAAACATCAGTTTAAAAAGGAAATTTCATTCAGTAAATTTATCCTATGTTTTATATTAACAATAACATCTTTGTATGAAGAATGTTTTATGCAATACAATCAATTGTGTTAAAAAAAAACAATCACAAAACAGAATTGTATATATTATTTTTTTACCTCCAATACGGCTTGTTATCTTTCAAAATTATGTTTAAACCTGATAGGTTTTGATGTTTTTCATGGTTTTTTTTACCAATTCTTAGTAATTCTGTATTTTGTTATAAAATAGAACTGGTGATCACAGAGAGTTTTTACATTCTAATACTAACTCTTTTATCAAACACAAGAAGTATGGAATTAACGTGGTACTAAAAAAGATCAGCATTTTTGATGAAGCATTAGTACAGAAAGATCAATTATGATAAAATCTGATTCATGACCACTTATATATGATAAGATTGCTTGCCAGACAAGGTAACATATACCCACTGCAGCTGTAGGAAATGATGACAGTGTCTTTATTAACTGAGTCTGTTTTCACTACAGCAAGGGCAATAACTCAAAAACAACTGTCCAATAATTGCCAAATTAAAACTTGACTGAGAATTCATCAATACCAAATTTGATCATGATTAGATAAAAACTGCAGGCTCTATTATGTCTACAAGAAATTTAATGGATGGGAGCATGGGAATAAAGCCAATATACATCAACGTTTCCATGTATGCATGAAAGAGGGATGCATCAATAATTTGCTTGGTACCTTGTCTTTCTAGCATGACATTGGTTAATAAAAAACATTCTTTATTTGATTACTATAATATACTAATATTGTGATGATAGGCCTGAGATATGAAATCATTTTCTCCTTAAGCATAAATTTACAGATCATAGAATCAGCTTATACCTCCTGTGACAGTGGAATAAAAACCATTACTCAAGTTTTATCAATAATCTACAGAGTAGAATTCCTTTTAATCTCTTTATTCTACACTGGAATAGGAAATCAATAAATATTCAAATTCTTGGTGTTACATTTTATCTCTACAAGTAGTTAGAGAATCAAAAGCTTTTCAATTTCCTGATGATAGAAAATAAACACTAAGCAATGCAGAATCTCTTAAATTAATGACAAGTCGAGTTGCAGAGTGGTAATAGGTGTTCTGTAAAGGCGTACATGTCCGTTTACCTGGATATCGCTTATAAAAGTTGAAAAGATATCCAAAAATTGTAACAAATATACAGACTTAGCACTGCAAAATAGACAAAATCTAGATGCATCACCTCATCTTCAACATGGACATATCTTTAAGTGTATGGAATCAACAATTGTCCAAATTCTTCAAATTGATACTTGAATCAAGAAACTGTTTAGCAAAACAACAGATGTCCCAGTTCTCCTCATTATATTGCATTTGTTTTGACATCAGAAATGCACATTATTGGGAATTTCCTTTTTAAAGACCTTGCCATTATAAAATTCTCTCAGAAGCTTCTTATTTCTGAACAACCACAGACAAGAGTTTTAAGTCTATACAGCTAAAAGAATCTAAGCTCTATTCAGAATCATTTTACATGTCAGTCCCTACATCCTACAGAGGAAAACCCGAGATGGAATACCTGAAGAAGCTCCGCCAATACCAAGAATTGGGATCTGAATTGAATTAGTAGTCAAACTTGTTTAACGTATTCTGTTCCAATATTTTGGGAAGAAAACTTATATTAATGAGTGACCACATGTCCAGAGGAAAACAAAGACTAAATCAAAGTTCTGGTTGTTATTATCTAAAACTAACAAGATTAAGGTATTCACATTCATTACTTCATCTCATAAAATAAATTGGTTAGTTGGATTATCATTTATGTGTGAAATATTCAGACTAGAAGCCTTTTTTTCCCTAAATCTTATAACAGTTAATTCAAAATCAATTTTAGTCATTGACCAATCAAATAAAGAGATTGTTGAAATCATTTTAACCAAAATATGCACAGTTAACAAAAAATCATATAGGGCCTACAATGTATTAGAAATCACAAACTTGAAATTTTTTGGCCTATGATGCAAACTGATCGCACAAAAAGTATACTGTTGATCATAGACAAATTCGAAGATGTGCGAACATTAACTTGGCCTCCCTATGATAATCATAAATATGAAACTGATGTTCATAATAATAAGCAATATCAATATTTAGCTAAATCAACCACAAACTTAAATAATAGCAAAAGAGAAAAAAATCCTTTAAGACAATACTATGCAATAAAACTAGTGAAAATACACAAAACCCACAAATACTGTACTTACCTTAGGATGAGAAACATTGGCACTATAATAACTATCTCTACACAATACACTAGTAATATATGGTAATAGAATAACAACTCTACTGACAACTTAAACACAGAAATTACACCACTTATTCACATAAATAGCCCAACTTGCTGTTATCATGAATAACAACATTGAGTATGACCTAATGTTCCAATGAACATATGTGATGGAAAATGTCAGACACTATAGAAGAGAATTGAACTAGAATTGTAGTGAAAATATTGATTAGTTCTTCAAGCTATCTATTCTACTGTCGTATTGAAAGACTTTCTTAATATTAACACTTTCTCTCTAGCCTTTCACTTACATCTTTCCTTCCTTTACATTCACTAACATGTGTCACAGTCAATAGTAGGCTCTGATCTGTTTATTTAATGTTTTTTATCAGACATGACTGGCAAATACAGTAGTATCACACTCTGTCCTTTGATCAGTTTATTTTTAACATTTTAAAGATATAACTGCTCATATAGCATATAATCATTCAGAATTTTGATCAGGACATTTTTTTTTTAGTTTTTAAGATACATGACTGACAAATATAGCATTTTCAATACTCCTTCACTCAAAGAATTAGAATTAAAACCCCACTTGTTCTTTAAATAGCATCAATACGATACTAATACTGCAGAAACATCTTATGCTGTAAAAGAACTATTGATTGATAAGACGATACATCAATGTTCTTAAAATTTCTATCATTATGACATAAAAAACGTAACAAGATAAGACTAATGTCAGTTTAAGACAGTCTTCTTTACACTTGATTCACTACACTACTTCCACTGTCTCCATTGGAAACAATTTTTAAAACCGATTTGAAATCAGCAGATATTTAAACTGACCAATGAGAAAAAGACATTGTCAAATAATTTGCATGTAGTTTGAGTCAGTATCATGATGACACTTGTTGTATTTTATCATCAATACAATATAATTAACCTTCACTCAACAACTGGGGTCCTTCATGAAAATATTTTCAATAATACAACACATGGACAACCTTTTTCCATCAAATATTACAAATCAAGAACTATATCTCCAATGAATAAACCATAAATTGTCAAGATTAACTAATACCAACTTGTTTAGAAAAGAACATCCAATATCAAAAGTATTCAGTTACATTTCCAACAACTTGGTGTGTATTAGAGAATATTAAACTACTGATATTACACTGATAAAGATATAATAGCAGACTGTATCATAACTTAGATAATAGACACTAGTCTTAAACTGTAGAAAATATAGAGTAGGGTGTGACATTTCTTAAAATCATTTGATAAAACTTTGCAGTTAAAGGGACAGATGTGCCATTTTGGGGTTTGATTTCAGTCTTGAATATATGTAAATAGTTTTCAGAAGTACTAGAAATGTACGAAAATCACATAATTCCTTTAAAATTACTTCGAACTAGAAATTTTACTCACTACCTGTCCCTTTAAAAAAATAGAGTTTTATGTGTTAGTTTTTTTAATTAGAGAAATGAAGACAGGCAACTGTGCTGTGCGTACGGATGGAAATTGCCAGTGGCATGCTATTCCTGCAGTTTCCAACTGTCATAGCACACAGGGCCTCAGTTTTATCACTGACACGAGGAAACTAGATTGAAAAATGTCAGCATTGGAAACTTTGTAGCACTTGTAGTTGTTATCCAATCATAAAATGAACAAATACTTACCTATAAACCCTTGTTTATTAGATTGACATCTACTTGTATCATTTGGTGTACGACCAAACATAGCAGAATATATAGCTATTCTAGATGATCTTTTACACCATAATCTCATCTCTTCTCCTTCACATACTGATTCACTGGTAAACTCATCTGCAATAGAAAGTTGTATAAAAATAATTAAATCATATTGATAGAAAAAACCTTTGTTTGCAACTCACAAATATCAGCACAAGAGTAACATGTCTAAAAGAAACATACTGAATTACATCTTTTTTAGTAAAAATAAAAGACTATTAAGGAGGATAAATATCATGAGATAACCACTTCAATCTGAAATTTCAGATTAAACAATAAACAATCACAAATCTTATAAAGCCAAATGTTATAAAACCTTTATGATTGTCAAGAGGAAGTTTCTTTAAATAGGTACAATTCCATGCTAAATCCATTAAAATAAATAATATAATCCAACTAAGTTGCATCATCTTCACAGAGTTATTAACACTAAACACCTCCAAGACACTAGAATTAAACTCTGCCCTCGGCATCATTGCAGAAATGATATTCAATGGTTCATCTTTGACCATTTTTCTAATATGTTTAACATGTTTCTCTGAAGAGAATATCTAATTTGTTTATTCAAAATATTAAGCATATTCTTGATAATGGTTTCCAGACTCAGAGGTTTATCATATTCTACATTCAAAGAGGTTCTTCTCAGGAACACACCAATGTTTTAAAGCTACTTAAGAATTAAAATGGGGAGGCCTAGGTTCCAAATATCAGGATTTAGCAATGAGTTTATATTCTAAACAATTTAAATGATTAACATATTGTAAAAATTACTAATAATACAGAAAACCATATTTATTTTTAAACTAAAATAACAGGAACTGTCATGAGTTCTGTTTTCTTTGACTGGAAGGCAGATGTTTCACAATTCTTTCAGTTGCATTTATAATATGAAAAACTTCTTTACATCGGGATCACAGACAGAGACATACATTTCTTTAGGCATACATTTAAAGTAAGAGAAAAATAACACATCTGATTGACAAAAGAGATGGTAAAGAGGCTCTATTTAACTTTCTATGCTCATCAGCGACACAGATAGCATGACATTGAAAAATTTGATATTACAAAGGACATTTGGTATTATTAAACAGCTTTGTTATAGTGATGCCATAAAAGTACAGGAACCACAGACATCTGATGGAAAATTGGAATGTTGCAAATTGAAGCTATAAATAGTCCCAAATACATAAAGAAAGGTAGAAAACCTCTTTATAACCCATTTTGGTGCTCCTTTTTATTAATGCACGATTGGGGAAAAAGGCTTATGTCTACGCCTCTCCAGAACATTGTGAACCTTATTAAGGCTTAAAATAACCCTCACAAACCACTGCAATAAAAACTTACAACCACCATTATGCTGTACAAATCCAATCAATCTTTGTAGTAACTTAACAACTTGTTTAATAGAACAACCACTTAAACTACATAGATGATTTTCTATCCAACTGTTCCACCATAAAGTAAACGACCAGGTGAGAAATAGGTAAGAAGGGAGATTACTAATGTAAGAAAGGTTGTTTCATTGAACTAAGAAACCTGTCAAGGATAAACTACCATACATAAGCTGAAATATTAAGACACTGCAGTCCAATAAAAGCCTGTAGTTTAGTACTTCTGCATTCTGAATTTCAACTTGTTTTAAAAGCACAACATATGCAATGGATCTTTAAAGGGACAAGTGCGCCATTTTCGGAACAAAACATGTTTGTCATTTTCAGGGTTGATTTGGGTTTTGAATATATGTAAAGTCTTCAGAAGTACAAGAAATGTATGAAAATAACATAATTCCTTTTAAAATACCTCACATGAGGAATTTTACTTTCGATTTCATGTCTCATGTCTGGATGGGGCAATCAAGTCTGAAAACAACCCAGGACCTGAAATCCAGTCCACAATAAATCAGACTACTACAGACTGGTTGATAATATATCATGTCAACCAATATTGACTGATTATAACTGGTTGATTTTAAAACAAATGTTGACAGAGTTCAATCTATCATCAACATTATTAAATAGACTTTCAGCATTATATCATTTTACTTCTCATATTTTAGAGAATTTCATTTAAAAAAGATTATTTAATGGATCTAGTCAGACACCCTGGAGATATTTCTACGTCAATATAGAACTAGACTCCCATCAATATATAATCTTCTACATTATATATACTGGTAGTGACTTCTCAGCATCATTTTATCATAATCAACAAATGAAATGATCAACCAATTTCTTGATTAGATTGTGCACAGGGTTTTATTTGCATTGAATGCTTGATTGGCTCTACTTATTAACAGATGTAAATTTGGTTTCAATCTGACAGTAAGCCATTGAATCTGTTTCCTATATTGATAATTAAGTCTCTTAATGGTCCTGGTTTGAATTACTCTTCAGGCAGGAAAATTTGATGACATCCCAAGTGCTTTCGCTTTTTCAATCTTCTCTTCAAATGATCAATATTTGAGTTAAAATCAATAAGGTTTAATCTAAATATAGACCCATTAATCCTCTGTTATTAATTAATTGATCCTGAGTAAAATACTTCTATAGAATTATAAAGAAGATAACAATAGAGGCTCCAACAGTTGGTATAAATAATAACTACAAACCTTTATCATGGGTTACTATATATTAACAATTATAAATATAATAAGCTTAGAGGTCAATACTAAAGCTGAAATAATATTCAGACCTCTTCAAGTATTCTTAATATTAAATCAGTGAGCCCTGTCTTTCAGGAGTACATCTTTTCAGCCATCAGACTTCACATCTGTAATTCTATTGCCAACAAGAATACAACTCAAAAGTACAACAAACATGTGAGATAAAATCCAGTTAAACTATGTTTCATGTTGTCATCCTCGTATTCATCTGTTTATTTTAAAGCCTTTTCATGTAAGTCTGATGAAACTGGAGATACAACCTTATGATATTAAAAAGACTCTAAGTTATTGCCCATATGACCTGGCACGTAGAAATTAGACATGCTAATGAATCTTGCTTAGATTTATGGCAAATTTGATAATTAGAATATATTTAGATTTTTGTTAAACATGACTGGTAGGAAAAGGCAAATCAACATTCCTGAATTATAATTTCACACATAACAATATATTTTAATACAACATTATATATTAGAATTGTAACAAGTTTCTAACATCATTGAATCAATTAGAGAGTATTTTTTATACAACTTTGCAGCCATCAATCAACCAATATTTTTTCTAATCAATTAACTCGTAAAATAATGTGAATATTCTGACCTTTTATACAGAGATAATAATGATGATTGATTCTCAATAGTCTATATAGATACATAGTCCGAAACTATTGCTAGTTGGACCTGGTTTGGATTATTGATACAGTACAAAGAAGAATTAAGTGAAAACATAAAATACAGTACAATATGCAACCATGATCTGCTGTTTAGCATACTCAAGTTGAGATTCTGGTTGGCCATCACTCAGAAATCGTTCTAGTTTTACTGAGTGTGGCTATGCTATGCGTGTGAAAGGAAACATGTTTTGGATTAACAGACATTCTACCATACTGTATATCATACTTTTTTTTTTCAGATACGAAAAAAATTGTCAGACTTTAAACATTGGCTCTTGGTAACAATCTGGGAAATGTCAAAATTCAAGTACCTTTCATGAATACATTTCTGTTTTTAAGTACTGTAAAATGTTCCTCCTTACAGTAATAACAACATCAATAATCCCTGCCAATTTTAATATCAATTTCTACATTGTTCTTTATCTTAGCTATATTTTTAATATATCATACTTGATCCAAGACATGTAAAGCTATACAGAGAGAGGATTGAAAACATCTTTTCAAAATGGTCTTCAAATCAAAATTTGGTGTCTTAAGGCCTCATTTGTACTAGTGATCAGCCATCAATTTGAAAGCTAATTTCACCACATGATGAGGTGTAATTTAGAGAAGGGGGTAAGTTGAAGGTCAGTTTTTGTCAATAGATTTATTTGAGTATGACCAATGTACTAAAGATAATAATACTGTATATTATAATAATACATCATTAACTTCCAATTGGTCTTTGATCAGTTTCTATATACCCCTAGTTATCATTATACAGAAAGGTCATTATTAAACTGGTGTATCATTAACTCTCTAATGATGAAACATACCTACATCTACCATTATATATGATGGTCATTACATGGTGGACATCACATGACATTAAGAGCGTAAATAATACTTTCATATTTGATGTATCATTATGTATATAGATCATTCGCTATTTAACTTTAAGCTTGAGACCACTACAACAGTACATTGGAACTGGAGTCCCATCACCATAATCACATTGTAGTCAATATTGCCTCAAAAGACAATGCATTTCCCTGTATTGAGTACCAAATACCAGTTTGCATCTATGGTTGTCAATGTACCATCTATTCGAGGTCTCTAAGCACACGACAATAAGGCACGTATCACGAAACTTATAAGGTAAAATGGACTTACTTGGTCTACATTGATAATGAACCTCAAGATATTTAGATGTATCAGGACAGGGGTCTTGTTGAAATGTTTCTGTTCCTGCTACTAAATGGCACTTGTTTAAATTTTCACATTTATCTAATAGCACCTGAAAGTAGAAAAAGGAAAAATAATCATTTCTCATTCTCTGTCACACAAATATTCTAATGCTAAGAATTATCATAACAAAGAAGCTTATTGGGATTATAATAAACATCCAATTGGGATCATCAAAAATATCAGAACACCACAAGGGATTCCCAAAAATCATCTTAGAATTGGCACATTCAAATGACATTAATCATACAGAGTCAAGAGTCTAGACTAAGAGACAATTTCAGGAATCACAGACAGACATATGATGAGAAACCATTACTCAGCAGCTTCCAATCAGACTTGTAACTCCTTGTAGGTCTTTAATCAAAGTTCTTGTAGGTTTTCAATCAAATTCAAAGAGATTCAAAAGCAATTCTCTAGATTTTGTATGTGTATCTGGGGCAATCATAGCATTTATTTGCACCATTTGAATTTTCTGTCAGATATGTGTTGTGATTGCTGTAATAGTACAGCTTGACTAGATAATGACACCACTATTGCAACTATCACATATGACTTGGAAACCTTGTTAGAATCTCTGTCTTTAGTAGGTTTTAAACAAATTTTAGTTCAAATTCTTTGCAATTTTTTCTAAACAAATCTTAGTTCATTGTTGGTTTTTAAATAAATTTGAACTCCTAGGAGGTTTCAATCAAACTTATAACCTATGATTGTTGACTATGGTAAATAATATAGAATCAATAAGACCAGACTATGTAACAGTAACTAAATACTTTAATCAATTTTTTAGGATATTTGTGTTAATATGGTAATATGCACATCTGATACAGTATGTAATATCTTATATCATATCATGTACATTTGGTTTAAAATCTGATATAATATGTTCTTTTCTTCAAGTCATCAATGAGCCAATGGACAAAAAATACTACCTAATGACACTTTGTACACTATTGTGGGATCCAGAGTTAAAAAAAAAGTAAATTAAAACTGGTATTCTGTATGTAGGAAGCAATATTTTAAAAAGTCATAGTTCATTTCAGAACACTTTACCCTCTAAGAATTAATTCTTTTGGATTATCATTTCACCATAACACACTAATCATTTACTGTCTATATACTAGTTTTAACATGATGATCATTTATCACACTTGGTGCAATAACTTATTTTAAATATAAGCATTAAAGAGTTATCTTACTTTAGTTCATTTTAACATAGTTGTTTCTAAAATCTATTTACTATTGTGGGATATATATATAACAATACCCAATAAGCTGTAAGTTGTCACAAGGTTGACAAACCCAGATGCAAAGTTACAAGAATGACTTAACCTGTTCCTTAAATTATTATTACTGTTATTTTTTATAAAGAAATAGAACTTTAAAAAATGTGAAGCACAGCTTGTGACAAATCAAAAAAGCTGATCCTACACTACTTAAGCCATAAATGATAACCACTCCTTCAACATTATTGACCCTAAGAATCAGATTTTAATCTTTTCTTTGTATGTTTCTTTACTTTGATCAATCAAAGTTCATTATCTCCAAGGGGAGGCAATTCTTATCATAGATAAATATTTTGTGTTCAGTTCTACCCCTCCTGTGTAGAATCATGTTACTTTCATGTTTACCTACAGAATGTATGAAAGGATGAAAGACATGTCTCTGTTCTTTTATCTCAGACATATTTATCAACTTTACTTCAAAACTTTATACTTAATCTCAACTGACAGTAACAAATTCACTCACAGATGACAATCCAAATCTCTGTCAAAAGGGCCCACTGCAGTCTTATAGATATCTTACAATTCAGTCAACTTGTAGGAATGCTAATAATTTACATTTAAATTTAATAAATGATAAAAGAACATGAAGGTTAACATTTTTTTCTGCTTTAATATTTCTACTGAAAAATGTAAAAATCCTCCTGTATCTAATGAGTCTTCATCTGCCTCCTCTTTTAAACTCAAAGGACATCTTCAAGATCATTTTAAATCTGAATGGTCGTTGAGGTGAATCAGTCATTCATTTCTGCACAGTTAAGATGGCAGATTCAATTCACTTGTGACTCTTCAGAGCTGAAGATTCTTAAATGTGCATAGTCTGTAACATACTAATAAAGGTACCCAACAAAACTTCTTTTAAGATGGCCAAAATAATTAACAATAACATTAATTAAACTCAAATCTTTAAGGGGTAATAGTTCTACATGAATATTCAATAGTGTAAAAACTACTTATACATAACCAACTTGTAGCTTCAAGGCTTTCTTGAAATACTGTGTGATAGCATATATTCTCCTAATCTAAGCCATAGTTTACTATTCTAAACCACTAACATTATCTTTATAGTTCATAAAACCTCCTCAGAATTCCTGATTACTTCTAAAGCTCTGGGCACAAAGACATTTATATCAAATGACCAATTTAGGGGAAGTTTCATTTACAGGAAATAGCACTGAAATCAAAGACCTGGAAACCATCTCTTTGACCTAAATGTTAAATAAAATCAATCATTTCATTACTAATGGATTATTAGAGAAAGAAATAAGACTTACAGGAGACATCTTTAATATGACTATTATTAGTATCCAACTATATTGCCATGGAAACATATTCTTATAACTGAGCTAATTAAACACAATGATAGTCCAAATCAGGAACATTTCAATCATTGTCAGTGAGAACTTTGAAACTTGAAATGCACTTGTCTGCAACATTGTTCATACATTGATTAGTCTTCTGCACCACAACTGATAATTGTTCTGTATACAAAATGTGCAAGGATCACTCACTCAAAAATGGGTAATCAAACAATCCCTTAAAATCCAATACCACATAATTCAATTAACATAGTTTAGGATATTCAAATTATCATGTAGACAATTAATGTGATATATAATCTTACTAGTAATTAGATCATAAAGCCTACATGTATGTATCAAATTACATAGAATCAATTAAAAAAAACACCCCCAATAGATAATAATATATAATTAGATAAGCTGATAATATATCAAGCAACTAGTAATGGATAGGCTTATACTTTTAGTTAAGGATTAACAAAGAGGCGGAGGTGGAAGAAGGATTTCCCAAGCCTGAAGACTGTTAATTTTGCAAGGACATGTGATGTACTCGATTTATGAAGAGAAAAAAGAGGTTTTCTACAAATTCCAGAATAATGTGATACTAACCTATACATATATTTGATGTGAGACAATATATAAATGTATGTATCGGGGAAATTAAAAAATTTTGCAGATATTGATATATAGGCTATCGATTACTTGGAATTTGGAAAAACAGTTCTACATTCTCTATTAAATCAGAAGTGAACTTTCAATCATTGATCTTTAGACGACTGCTAAAATAGATCATGATGTCATCACATTTGACTTGTGGCATTATCAGACGTCAGTGACAGAATTCTGATGATTTCTCCATAATTATACTTCCTGATAATGTACTGCCACCTACAGGCTTGAACTAAATTACATTGTTGTGCTTAAGAAATTATTCATCACTCAAACTGATGTGTCAGCTCATTTCTAATCAGCAATGTGACGTTAAAAAGTTGTTATATAGACACAGCTTTATGAAACAACAATAGCTACCATCATTTATAAAACTATAGCTACCATCATTTATAAAACAATAGCTACCATCATTTATAAAACAATAGCTACCATCATTTATAAAACAATAGCTACCATCATTTATAAAACAATAGCTACCATCATATATAAAACAATAGCTACCATTATATATAAAACAATAGCTACCATCATATATAAAACAATAGCTACCATTATTTATAAAACAATAGCTACCATCATATATAAAACAATAGCTACCATTATTTATAAAACAATAGCTACCATTATTTATAAAACAATAGCTACCATCATTTATAAAACAATAGCTACCATTATTTATAAAACAATAGCTACCATCATTTATGAAACAATAGCTACCATCATTTATAAAACAATAGCTACCATCATTTATAAAACAATAGCTACCATCATTTATAAAATAATAGCTACCATCATTTATAAAATAATAGCTACCATCATTTATGAAACAATAGCTACCATTATATATAAAACAATAGCTACCATTATATATAAAACAATAGCTACCATCATTTATAAAACAATAGCTACCATCATTTATAAAACAATAGCTACCATCATTTATGAAACAATAGCTACCATCATTTATAAAACAATAGCTACCATCATTTATAAAACAATAGCTACCATTATTTATAAAACATTAGTTACCATCATTTATAAAACAATAGCTGCCATCATTTATAAAACAATAGCTACCATCATTTATAAAACAATAGCTACCATCATTTATAAAATAATAGCTACCATCATTTATAAAACAATAGCTACCATTATTTATAAAATAATAGCTACCATCTATAAACAATAATTACTATCTATAAATTATGTATAATGAGGAGAACACTATAATGGAGCTGAATATCAATAAATCTAATAACCATTCATTAATATTTTAATAATTAATACCCTAGTTAGATTTAATACTAGTACTGACTTTTATAGTACCACAGCAGATTTTATAATACACTCAAGATGGCTTGAGTTGCATTGCAGGTCTTAAATAACTTTCATAGCTGAACATTCTAGAATTCAGACCAATTGCGAAATTAATATCAATAAGGTATGGACATTAGAGAAATAAAAAAAATGTAGCTTCTGAATAAAAGAGTCCTTAAAGGACCAAACTCAAAGCCAGACATTCTGGAGCTCAAATAGTACAGGACTAATTAGGACAAGATTAATCAAGGTAACTCATGTTATGTTATAATTTTGTTTTTTATTTCATTTTTCTTCTTACTTTGAACAAAATGCTTCAAGTCAACAAATAAAAAAAATGCCAAATAAATTGTTCACTAATTGTTTCATTGTCAATTACATAATTAAAGAAGGGTTATTATAAATCATATTGATTGATTTAGAACATCTGCAGGAAATGATAATTATTTTACTTAATTTATCAACTTAACCCAAAATCCCCTTTAATAAAATGATAAGCTTCAGGATTTACAAAATTGGCTTCCTTTATCTTTGTACTGAAAAAATTCAATAGTTAACAATCCCAATTCATATTTCTTTTTTATTTTTCACACATTTAACATTCCCAGTTAATTGTAATGACAAGACCTTGATAACTACCTGTACATAAAGTTTGATAATATAGACAAGACAACCTTCTTTTTTTAACATCATTATCAGATATAAGTTCATTCCATTCTTTTTCATTTTCTTTAACAAAGCTGTTATTCTCCAATTTTTTAAGAAGTTGTTAGGATGGGCAGATTGTAATAAAATGATGACACTAAACTTTACAAACTGTTACCTGAAACCTCCCATCCTCTCATTGTTAGAGAAGGGGGGTTGAGTTCTCATGAAAGTCAACTACATCCTGTAAGGGATTGGTTAAGAGCAAATGGTCAGGACCTGGTTTCTCAAAAACTTGTATTTTGTAGTCAGGCAGCAAATACAAAGAAAACAACAAAAATGGTACAAATTTTGTTAACTTATTCCAAACAGTTTGACACATCATCTGCAATAATTGATAGTGGGTAAACTATAAACATCTAAAAAAGAGTTTAGATCTCAAATCATTTAAAACATAAAATTTTGACAAATAGCCAAATTTCATTTTAAATGTTGTTAACCATGTGTTATGATGATAAACATTGTTTATAATGTGCAGTTTTATAAAAATAAACACTAGTGACACATTGCTATTACAGTAATAAACAGATGTTTGAATGATATTGGACCAGTAGACAGGTGTGGTATCTGCCTGATAGACAGGTGGTTCTATAAATATGTCATATATTGTAATTTAATACATGTATTATTGACATATCACTATCTTTATTTCTTTTTGATGCCATGCTTTCAAAATAAAGGAATTAAATGAAAACACAAGTTCTATCCACTTAACTTGAGTGCCTTCCATTTTAGTCAGTCTATGAAAATCTTAGTTAGGTTCTGCTGCTTCTAAGTTCCGATTCTGGCACAGGTAAAACAAATATCATAGATTAAATCACATGAAGTCATGGTTGACATTTCAATGAAGAATTATTATAATTGAATGGAATTTATTTCTTTGCAACTTGCCCCATGTTCCTTCTGATTAAAATTTATCTTACATAAAAAAAATTTATAAAGTAAAAGTAAAAATTAATGAAAATTTGTGAAGAAGATATGCTTTCACTTAATATATGATCACTTACCATAGGTATAAACAATATACATATTACATAGAAACTTATAATCCAATAGTTATATAACAGATCCATGTTCTTGTAGAATAAGTTACATCTTCTCTCAATTACATCATAGAAATAACAGTTTCAACTGAGAAATTTACCATCATTTATAATCCTCTTGAAAACATTTCTCTGGAATTTTAAGTTCCAATTTAGTGAAAAATCACCACAAATTTGTTTGAACCTACGACTTCCCAGAATACAAAAATAAATTCCTGAAATAGAACACAAACCACTAGCACTTCAATAGAGGAAACTGCTTCAAGTGTTTCCAATTGAACTTCAAACCACACACTATTCTTACTACTAGGAGAAATAACAGTTGGCAATGATCCAAATAATCAGCTGATTTCCATGTACGACACAGTTCCGTGATTCACATACAAATCATAGGAAGAGTGGCGTAATATTTCCCCCAATATATTCCGTCATACAGTTCTTCAGGACTCATACTATAAATAAGTGAATCATGGATTATTGGGAAAGAAATAATTAATTATTCGTCTAATTAGTTGTAGGGAATTGATTTTTGTTTAAAAGACAGTTGGTGTAGAGGCTAAGTGAATGATTGGTTAGACTAGATGACAATATAGTGTAGATCAATATAGAGTTGTATAGGAGACGTTTTGTTGTGACTGTATTTTATTGTCTCATGATCAGTCAATTTCTAACAGTATTGATCTATTCTATAGTATAATATGATAGCCTATGTTTCATGTATCTCATATGATGTGTCTGATACACAATAGATACAAGTCAATCATTCCTGCATTGGTAATGATGTCTGTTTTGTTCTTCCACATGCCATACAGTATTACATCATCTACACATCATTTGATTCTAATGTAATAGCTTAGTCAGCAGAATTACACATTTGTCATTCATTTCCAAGAAAAGAGAAAAATCATGGCTTCAACTATCAATATTCATTTATTTTCTTGAAATATTTTGCTATCCTATAAATATCACAAAGAGTATCAACTGCATGATTTTATGAAGAAAATGAAATTAGATATTAACACCCTTTCTGCTTAAAATTAGTGGGCATGTCGGGCACTCTGGATTCTGCCAAATTTAGTCATCCTTTTCACACCTGCACTCCTGTGTTGGCATTCACTTGGGTCACTCAAATGATGATTATTTCCATAGTACGAAACATAGAAGAGATTGAAAGGAAAAATTGTCCTGTTCTGAAACTTAACTGAATTGGTCATTTGAAAATGAAATGAGAAGCCATTTTTATTTGCATTTCAGGAAAGGAAATTGTGAAACTATATGGTATGAATGTTCTACATCATCACTACAATGACAATAATAATTGTATAAGTTGTATTAAGAGAAGATTTATATGTCTGGTATGACTCCAGTATTTCATGTTACCATTCTATCTCATCTGATCAACAACTTATCATGGTTTTACTTTGAGACAGAACAGAAACAACCATTGAATGATAACCTTCTCTTAAGTCATGTTTAGTCTATTGGGCTGTCATTAAGCCCATTCTTACTGCGGACAAGCCTAATAAGTCTTTCAACGTAAAACTTCCTTCCCTTGCATTTTTCTTAAAAAGGAATTTGTTACCAGAAACATGTTATTTCAACCAGAAAGGAACAGGTGATCCAAAGCACAGGACTGAAAATCTGAAAACCCACGTGCAGATACCAAAAACCAGAAACAAGTGGAAAATAAGAGTCCATTCTCTGAGCTATCAGTAAGAAGTTAAAGAATCTATTATTAAGTCAAATCAAGATAAAGAGTTGATGATTTGATACAGTGTGATGTAATATGTATATATACTTAGACTGTCTTATCATATCATTAATATTGACACTCTACTGATAATAAACTCATTAACTTCATTTTCTATTTATCAACACAGCTTTCAATCTATGCTTTTCAATATCATGCTCTTTTTTCTTTCCAAATTGTAATGGATAAGTAAATGCTTCTTATACCTTGATTGCAATAGCTATCTTTGTTGTATCATGAAAGTTTTAAATGCTTGGCTGTATTCACTTGTGACAATCATATATCTGTATTCCTTGATACAAGAAAGGTGGCTATTGCAGTCAGTCGATAAAAGACAAAAATCCTACTAGCTAGACAATGTTAAGATGCTCTTGTTCATTTTGATCAATTAATTTTACATGTTGGCCTGATTCATGCCCTTATTAATAATATAAGGATCTATTAAGACACAAGGCTCTACTACTGACTGTACATAGTTTATATCAATGGTTGTATTTTCCTCTTGACTAAAAGTATATATCTAGTGTTAAATCACAGATATCAGATTTAACTGGAAGAGGGACATTAACTTGTCATCAACCAACATCTATATTCTCTGATTGCTGGACAGTATAGTACAGAGTTAGACTATCATTAATCCTACAGACAGCTGATAAAGACAAGAGATTAACACTTTCTACTCTCAGATCTCATTTATCATGGTATATTTCACATTTACTAGCTATATTTCTACCTAATATAGCAGGTGATTAAGGGCAATTTCTGTCTTAATACATCATTCATGTAAAATCAAAATTTCAAGTTTTTTTTTTTATTTATTTATCCTTCAAAAATAGTAGGTCAGTCAGCCCATCGTTAGGGTGGGGTCTGTGGGGGCTGGGTACCAGCAAGTGTGAAAAAAGCCCCAGAAAAACCTTCTTCAGTTGATCAGAGATTGGTTCATTTACAGTGTGTTTGTACAAAATCAAACAGATAAAGATGAAGACCATTAAACTTGGACTTCCAGGCCTCCCCCCAGTTGTGTTAAAATATTAAGTCTAACTACAAACTATCCAAGCTCAAAACAAAACTCAAAATCCAATATAACAGTGTGGCAATATATTAGAAGCAGTAAATGAACAATCGATATGAATTGAGGAAGTATATCAATTAAAAATTTCATTATGAAAA